AGATGCGCTCAGCTGATTACAGATGTGCTTGAAAAGCATGCGCTCAACACGACTCCCGCTGAAGATCGATTACTTGTAAGGATGCTTGTGATATGGACCTGGATTAAATGCATGCTTAAAATTAGGTTGGCGTGCAACTTTGTTTGGATCGCTTTTGATGCAGCTAGACCTCCGCTATCACAGCTCGTGTGTTTTATGCGTCACACATTTACGGTGTAATGCTGTTTCAAATGGAATCGAAGCTGGCGTGGGTGTTTTGCTATTTTTAAAGCGTGGCATTGAGCACTTGATCAAGCAAATACACGTGTCAAACTTTTTGAGCAAAGTACGGTTTTCCCAGAATGTCTAATATTTACAGACGCGCGTCGGTCATGCATTTTTACATTTTAAAACATTGAGATATAGCCTCACAAATGGTTGGATATTGTGGAGAAACTTGCACTGCAATGATTACAGTTTGGACGAGTAACAGTATGAAGGCATGTTAGAGGTTTCTTCATAAATTGAAACATGAATAATCCAAAGTGTGAATTAAAGTACAAGCCTGGCTTTCAGCTTGATACGCTTCGGTAATACACTCAAAGGGCAGAGTAAAAGAACGCGCGACGTTTGCATTGGAAGTATTCGTTACTTTGCCTGATTTTGAACCAGCTTTTCCTTCGATGTACATTTGGATACACGGACAACTCGTCTCCTTTAGACGTAAGCAAAAGCGCTACAAAACTTCAGCCGCCGCTTAATCTCCCTTTTCCTCCACCAAAACTTATCTAGGGGCGCGCTAGTTCATCAGCAAGCAACGCCTGAATAAATAACTGCGACAGTGACGTCGCATTTATCGCATTCGCCGTCAGGGAAGCACTTGAATTTGTCTAGCTAGAAACTTGCGGCGACGATATTGATATGGTCGCCGTCTGGAGCCAAACGGATGTACATCGCGGCACCGGCCCTGGATAAACTTCAGCTCGTTAATTTTGTTTGTTCGTGGATGAATTACGAAAGGCTGACTGGCCGGCTGTTGTTCGATGATCAATGCAGAAGATGGTAGTCATCGCTGGAGATCTCCTAAGTGGAGTCTTTCTGGGGGCAAGTTTATTTACGAAGCGACGCACATTTGGCGCTAATATTTGAGAATATAGGGATGTTCGAACGCCGAACCTTTAACGCCTCGAGCACTGATCATATCAGGTGTTCCTAACTAAAAACTGGTCCTTTCTGGGCAATGCCCGGCTGTTAGCAAGCTCTAGCCTGATCATGTAGATGCCTTCACCACCAGAGACGCAGCAAGTGTGAGGAAGCAGAGGACTTCAAATTTGTTTTGATGTCACCTAAGAATATAAAAGTGGCGGTGTCTTAAGCCCGCTATCCATGCGCGGAAGCCTTATTTTAACAGCAATAGAAGCACAAATATTACAACTCCGTTTTCAGACGATGGAAAAGAGATGACAGGTATACAAGAGAGAAGGCTGAAAATTGTATTTCAGAATATGTTCATGTTAGAGGAGTTAATAAATCACAGGCGAAAATAGATGGCCCATGATGACCGAGGGTGATGGCTTTGGGTTCGCCTGTGGGGGCCCGGGTTTGGATCCGGTTGAACCATGGTCCCTGGGCCCTGACATCAATAACAAAGTCGTTGGTGCTCATGAGGAGGACGGCGATGACGAGCTCCGAAAACACTAACTAAGTTAAAAGTGGCATGTCCACGCTTGGCAAGTGACCGCCCTTTGTCCATCCCCCTGCTACATCACCCCCGCCGGTGCTCGTGCTGATTGAGACTTTATGCTGGCGAGGAGGTAGTCTGGTTCATGTAGAGCTATTACCTGGTTTTGCCGCTGGGACAAACCAGTCAACTACAAGCTTCCTGCCCTAGCCGTTATTTTTGGATGTTTAAGTCGCACAAAATCTTGTCGTCTCACCGGGCATTTAACGGAGCAATTTGCGCACATCTCCTGTTGAATATTTAGCGCCAATGTAATGTCGCCACATTTGCATCAGCATCTAAATAGTGCAGTATGCAAATCATCGACATGATGCCGGGCGACAGCAGCGCAGACGAAGCGGTGAAGAAAGCTCCGTTGTCTCCGCACCTTCCCGGCTAGCATGTCACGGCCTGGTACCCTCCAGGTCATCACCGTAATGGGCAAATGGCAGGCGGTTCTTCTGCACTGGAACTCTGATGAAATGGCGGCCCGACCATTTCCTGTTCGTGTCGTGAGCATGCACCTTTCAGCGCCTTTAAAGAGCAGTGGCTGCAAAACAGTCCATGGAGCTGATGTGTCGCAGCTTCAAAACAGCCCATGGAGTTGATGCGTCGCAGCTTCAAAACAATCCATGGAGTTGATGCGTCGCAGCTTCAAAACAATCCATGGAGTTGATGCGTCGCAGCTTCAAAACAGCCTATGGAGTTGATGCGTTGCAGCTTAAAAACAGCCTATGGAATTGATATGTCGAAGCTTCATTACTCGAGGGAAGGAATCGTTACAGCTGTGGGCTATGCGGATTTTCGATCAGTCAATCAGCCTTTGCCGTCTTTCAGCGATGTAGGGATTGTGTAGTTATCAAAATTATCAGCTTTGCTGTATACGCATACATGTAAGCATATCTCAGTTGAGCACGTTCTTCGTCAAAATGCACGTTCTCCCCAAATGATTGTGAATAGCCCGGTGTTTCCCATTGACAGCTCAGCAGATTATTTAACTCTGGCAATGCCTTTTGCACTCGGATTGTCACCAGTCTAATTTAGCAGCCATTGTTCAATTTCACCCATCACTTCGCTCTGCTATGCTCACTTCTTGCATTGTTTTGCCCGAGCTATGTAGATTGCCTACGAAACTTAGCAGCTCTGTTGTTGACAGAATAACTTCATATGAACTAAGAGGCTTTCCGTAGCAAACCACTTCCAAATGCTCTCTGATCCTGGATTTAGAGCTGAATAATTAAATTGCTTTCAAGTCACGCCTGAGTAAGGTTAATTTTTATTTGTCCGGATGTATGATTCACGTCCAAATATGCACATTAGCAACTTTAGAGGCACAAGCTACAAACTTACAGGTTTTTGTTTCAGTGCAATCTCGGCGATTAGCCATTGTGTAAGGCTGAGTGGCGGTGCAAGGCTGTGAGATTGAGGCCAGAAATGCCCTAAACATCCGTAGCTAATGAGGGTAGGGAGCTGCTTCGTAACTATAACGAACATTGCTAGAGGAAACGAAAAAAACAGTTTGCGGTTGAAACCTTCAGCCCCATGTGAGTTGAAGGTTTCGGAGACTCAAAAACGACTCAAAGACACAATTTCTGGCGTCGTCTTCGTCGGAAGATCGCTGCAGGAGACAAGAGTGATCCGGTCCCGGCGGCGACGCCGGCGCGCCTGTCCGCCTAACCCCGTCCCTAGTCGGTGTGCGTTTTGGGCTCCGTCCAGAGCTCATCCCAGTCCCCGTGCACGGAGGCGAGCGCCGAGAACATGGCCTTCTCCTGGCCATGCTGCTCATCCGACCGATACGTGACGGCGTACGACGTGAAAAAGTCCTCGGCGAACTGCGTCACGTCCTGTGGCTTCCACAGCAGCACCGCCTGCAGGAAGTCGGCCAGCAGACGGCGCACGTCCGGCTGCTCCCGCAGGTATCGCTCGAACAGCGCGCGCAGCTCCAGCTTGCGGTCGGTGAATGCGGAGACCAGCTGCAGGTCCAGCTCCCACTGCAGCGGCGGCCGCTCGCGCGTCAAGTGCAGCGCCTCCGTGCGCACCGGCCACGCATGCACGGCACGCGCTACCAGCCTGCCATCTCTCGTCAGGTGGATGAAGCTCTCGCTCGTCGCGCCGCCGCGAGAGAACGTCTTGACGAGGCGGACGCAGCGGTCGGCGCCGGTGGCTTCGTCGAGGGGCACCCAGCCGCGGCTTTGCAACGAAAACGGGTACAGCCGGCCGGTGATCTCGACTGCTGTACCGTGCACAACCAGCTGGTAGTCCAGCAGTGCAACCAGTCGCTCCAGCACGACCAGCGCGCCTTCTGAGTACAGGAAGCGCATCTTGACGCGGTTGAGCCGGTAGAGCCGCTCCAAGGGCTCGTGGCCGGCGGAACCCTGGCGCACCTGCAGTGCGAACTGATGCCGCTCGCGCACGAGGTGCAGGTGACGCCAGCGCTGGCCGCCGTCCGGCCAGCTGGCGGTCTGCTTCCAGTGCTGCTGCACCGTCTGCAGGTCGCGGTCGACGGTCGCCATGAGCTCGGTCTTGACTTCGGCCTCCTCCAGCCGATAGTTGCGGTGCACGAGCACGCAGAGCGTGGCCGCGCCGTCCGTTTCGGTCTCCTCGACGGAGGTCATCTGGAAGCCGAGCGGCGCGGTGCCCGGCGGCGGTCGGCAGAGGCCGTGTACCGCCAGTCGCTCCTGGAAGCAGACCCGACCCCAGTCGATCAGGTCGGGCCGCTCCAGAAAGCCTACTGGAGCCGCTGCCAGGTTCATGACGCCGCGACGAGCTGGCTCGATCTCGGAATCACGGCAGAGGCAGCGGTGGTGAGGCGGTGCTGGTGGAAGGAGACGCTAATGCTGGGCTGATGCCGCACAGATGGTCCCACGGATGAAGGTGCATTGCAGAGTTTTGCACAGGCTTAGGCAGAGGAGAAAGACACTTTGCTGTTTTCATTTGTGTCGATCAAGAGTGCATGTTACGTTAAACAAAGAACAGAAATTGGATTATTTATTTAGGGAAATCGTGATTTGTATACCTTGCCACCTCTGCCCTTCGGATACAAGACGAAACTGTTCTTAAATCGCTCTTCGTCTTAAAGGTTATATGGCTGCGTCTTCACATCTAGCGAAAATAGCATTAAAACTGTGATGGCAGCACTACTTAATGCTAATGAACATTTAAAGAATGTATCCACGTATCCGGACTTCAATAATGACCGCAACACTATTTTCTCCACGGCATATCGTAGAACCGTTCGTTATTGTAGCGACGTGCTGCCGTATTCGCCCCCGTGTCCGGTAACGCACCGTCTCCTCCGCAGACTACCTGCGCGGCCTGCTGATGCCGGAGCCGGCGGCCGACTCGTGCACCGAGGTGTGCGGCCACGATGGCGGCATCCCGATAGTGCGTGTGCGCAGCGCCGAGGAGACGGAGGCGGCGCACGACCTGCTCCAGCTGGCCATGTCGGCGCCGGCGCCGGCGCACAGTCCCCGCCGCGAGCAGACGTACGTCATCTACACCGGCGCGCCCGCCTTCTCCGACTACGGGTGCGGCGGCGAACCGGACTCTCGCGGCGAGGAGGACTCCGCCAGCAGCAGCGGCGACAGTGTGGGCGTCGGAGGCGGCGGCGGCGGTGGCGGCGGCGGGGCGGGCCGCTCGCGCCGGCCGCCCAGGCACACCTGCTGCGAATGCGGCAAGACGTACGCCACGTCGTCCAACCTGTCGCGGCACAAGCAGACGCACCGCAGCATCGACTCGCAGGGCGCCAAGAAGTGCCCCACCTGCGGCAAGGCGTACGTCAGCATGCCGGCGCTGGCGATGCACGTGTTGACGCACCAGCTGTCGCACAAGTGCCATGTCTGCGGCAAGACGTTCTCCCGGCCGTGGCTGCTGCAGGGCCACCTGCGCTCGCACACGGGCGAGAAGCCGTACGGCTGCGCGCACTGCGGCAAGTCCTTCGCCGACCGCTCCAACCTCAGGGCTCACGTCCAAACACACTCGTCCATGAAGACCTTCGTCTGTCGTCATTGCAATAAGTCGTTCGCGCTTAAGTCCTACCTAAACAAGCACTGCGAGTCCTCGTGCACTCGCCGGTAAGCGGTCGCCTGCCGGGCCACCAGGCTCAAACTGCGCTGACGGTGGCGTTATCGCATCCGCACCTTTGCTCCATCAACGACTCCGCGGGGAGCGAGAGAGTCGCGCGGCAAACAACACTCCTGCGAGAGCCATCGCTCCGAACTGCCGGCGGACCCGAGGGAGGGGACATCACAGCGTCAGTTCTTGGATGCCCGGCTCTTGACCACTTTCGGAACCCCGTGCGCGTGGAGCCAATACTCAAGCCGAGTCCAGGCACCAAAGCATCAAGTACTTAGTCTCCTAGGCTAGTGCTGAAGATGTAGGTTTGCCTTAGCACTGTCCGCGCTTTACTCTGGTCTCAAGTGAGTCGGAGCTTGCTTTTCTAGATTCAAAGTATTTTTCATATCTGCAACATTTTTAGAGTGTTCAAATAGCAAGTAAGCAATGCCCAGCTATATCTTTGTCCGTGTGTTTCCTTTGGGAAATCTTATCAGCTGACAGAACGTTATCGAAGTCTAGTCACTACGAACGCGCAATACTTAGCGCAAGCATTGCACGTCCGCGAGGCCCGCTAGAAGGTTCGGACCCGTTAGTTCCTGGTCGAGGCAAAACGGATGCTATAATAGTCAGCAATAATCAATGTGGAATCAACAGTGCGACTAGCTCAATTGATGTATAGATATAGGTATTTTTATATGGCAAGTTTTGTTCGGTGTATTTTGATGCTTTATCAATACTCGAAATTGATGTAATATGTGTCCTTATGAGTACCATAAGTTGTTATAGGCGGTTCATGTCATGCATGCTACATGCTACATGTGGTTTTCTAGAAACGATTGTCGTAAAATTGGTCGATTAAGAGCGGAACTGTGTTCTTCCTTTTGAATTTCAGCGTGGTCCATATGAACTTGACGACATTCTAGGCACGCTGTTCAAACTATCTACATTATGTGATAGCTACCAAAGGCTTCTGAGCTCTGCTTAGCACCAGCGATAACATTTGCATAGGTTAAAGGGGTTTCAGATAAAATAAGGAATCATTGTTTGCTGTCACTAAAATTTCAAAGTAGAGCAATGCATCATGTTGAATCAACCACAGATGCACGGGTGGTGCTCTCAATGATACGCCATTATGAATGGGAATGGCCCTTTTATTTATTAATTGCCGGTTAAGTAATGTCAACTTTGATGACACCACGTCATTGATGACGAATGGGTCTAGAAAGTAGAAAACTGTACAAACTCGGCCCAAATAAGCTCGGTTATCTATAGCTGGTTGTATTCTGCGAGGTTAAGGCAATGCATTTGCACGTGCAACCAGTTGTTGAAATTTTTGTCTGGCTGACCCCGTCGAGGCGCATGAGAGCCAAGTCCATGATTGTACATAACTCACCAGTTTCGAACACACGTCTAGCACTCATGAGATGCCGACTAAAGATTGATAAGATTTCCAGCATATAGCTTAAGAAATGAATACAAAAATCTTGCAAAAATTTAAGGGCTTTTTATCTAAAATTCATCATTGTATGTACCGTGAACATTATCGACCTGACATAGCGCTGAATGTTCTCATTTCTCTGCGTCCATAAACATGCATCACGAGCAACGAAATGCGGTGGTCAGAAGATAGCAATGAAACAAATCATCTAGTTTTGCAAACGTCCATTATCATCGTGCGGTTTTAAGGTATGCACGTTTTACTTTGCCGGCCGTACGGACAAGCGTTTTCTTTTGGCCAGGCTGATGAGTGCTCTGACATGCATCTTTGACTTTTATGTGATGATGTAATAGGTATGCGCTAACACAAGCTCTAAATCACGTTACCTTGCTTTCCTGAACGTTCATACGAAACGACCATTACTGTCCCAGGGGATTTCATATATCGCTTTCATTGTGTGTACCGTGTAGGTAAAGTACACTACATTCCGTGCCGGTTTTTGCTGTGTATATGAATGATCGAAAAACAAGCTGCCCTTTCTGCTTAAGGCGTTATCGTTGCTGATCTCTAAGATGCATGTTGTCTTTGCGTCTGTATTTGTGTGAAAATTAGTTATAAAACTTAACAAGCCTTTATGGAAGTTGTCTCGTAAAAATATTTGCCGGGGCATTCACACGACATTTCTGGCCATCTGGAATCAACCCATTGTTGATTTATATCGAATGAGTCATATCGAGTCACGCGTGTTCATTAACTTCATGCTTGGCATTGAGTCCGTTCTCAGTGGCAGGACGTGACACTGTGTTAGTGTTTAATATCGAAAGCTTTCTTTGGAGTAATCTCCTAGCTGTCCTTTTTCGCCGTGCCATGTTTTGCTGTCTTTTCTGCGTGCAAATGCAAGTCCATCTTTTGCCTGGTATGCTTTATTTCCAAATCAATGATGCATAAATGACTAACTAATGCATCGGTAAGTATACATGTGTCTCAGAGAATAACAGATTATACTACTGACTGAATTCCAACAGCATACTTGCAAGTATCACCTGACGGACAATTATAACAGCAGTTCGGACTTAAAAGATTATGGCTAACACCTTCAGTCATAGACATCAGTTCCAATTAGTTTTTTGTCTAATCATTATTGCTTGCAAGGTATATATTGCTACTTTTTATCTGCTGTTGAAAAGTTACGCTATTCTAAAAATACTGCTTGCACTGGTTCAGTACTGCCCCATTATAACTTGGGGCTTCGTGTGTCGTAACCAACCTCTATTCACTAAAAGCGGGTTCTAATTTTACACCGCAACTTATTCGCTCATGTTTTAAGCATAGTAAAGAGGATGTGTCTCTGGTCCAAGTGTGCATCCTACGCTGTGTTTTCTGAGTACTGCGAACGATGCATTTGTTCTGAATTGGGCAAACGTATATGATTCGCATAGGATACCGTGATTTCTTAAGAAACTGACTGACACCGGCGGGTTAAGTGCGGTTGATGCCTTAGAAAATGCTACGTCTTTTTCGATAGTCCATTGCAAATTCTAATGGTCTCTGCCCATTGCACTGTTCCATCTTTGTGTGAGACTGTACGTCACGACGTCACGTTTCATGAATGCGTTACTGGCGTGGCGCACATTCTAGTTTTGACATCCTGAAGTTGTTTGCGTCTCTTCGTATTCCGTGTGCCATCGAAATGAGAACTGAGGTGATACAATGTGCATTCTATGCGTTTGATTAACCGTATAATGGGAGCAGACTTCATTGGGCAAAGCTACACCCATCTGACAAGCGTGCCGTGTTTTCTTTGGTGACGTGACTTCGTGTTGGAATATGTCTCTCACAACGTTATGAATAAAAATTGTTTTTTGCCGTTTGCATCTCGCACAGAATCAGGAAAGAAAGGAGAGTGCAGACTCATGTTGTGCAACGGTACGAAGATATCGGCGAAGTGTGTGTCCGAAGCGTCTATGCCGTTAGGTCTGGCGTAACTCATAGCGAAGGGCTTATAACTCTATAGAGCAAAGATTACTGAAAAACAAATCAAACATTAAGACGCTGTGCTTTGGAAGCTTTTTTCAGAATGATGTTACGAAAAAAACGTAGTTTTCTCCAGAAGCGTGCAAGCAGCTTGATCTGTCTTTCTTCATTTTGTGGTTTTGGAAGGTGGTGGTTTTGTGGTTTTGGAAGGTGGTGGTTTTGTGGTTTTGGAAGGTGGTGGTTTTGTGGTTTTGGATGGTGGTGGTTTTGGAAGGTGGTGGTTTTGTGGTTTTGGAAGGTGGTGGTTTTGTGGGTCTTTCACGAGGAAACTCGCCGGAAAGCCGGAAATGATCCACTAGGTGGTCTTAAAACTCGCGAAGACGACTATACGTTTCATTTCATACGATACCGAGAAATCCCAAAACATGGTGTCATAACGTTACAAGTTCCTGTCTCAAGCAGTAAAAGATCACAAAACCAGGGGCGGATCTTGTGGGGGCCACAGGATCATGCCCCCTCCCCCGGGCCTCTAAGGGGCCAGGGGGGCATGGATTCGAAGGGGCTATAGGTTCCGAAGGAGCTCAAAGTCGGCCGAACAGGTGCAGTTTTTTAACACAAAGCGCAACAAAATTGGACGTCTTTAGGCTGGCAGGTGACCAAGAACAGCCGCAAGTGAAAGTGAAGGACCCACAAGAAGACAGATTGCTTCCAACGATCGAAGTTGTTAATTGGGAACTTAAAACCTCCTCACGCTATCCAGGGACCCTGTGCTGTTTCTGGGGGACCCATATACTCACATCCAGGGTCATTCCGATCGTTAAAGAGACCTCCTCGCTGCCCTTGACTTCTTTGCATTTGATCGGAAGGCCCCGCGCTGTTGCTGGGTCCTTCCTGCTGGCGTGCCGGGGCGCTCTTGTCAACCAGGAGCCTTCCGTGGATTCTTTACATTCGCCAGACAGGCTCTGTAAGCTACAGCCGGGGTCCCATATGTTAACCTGCCGGATATTCCCGGTTGCTTGGGGGCCCTTTATGTTGGTCTAAGTTCTCCTACCAACACACTCGCGATATGCTCATGGGCCCCCTACATTGGTCCTGGGCGCTTCCAATTTTCTATCGCTTGCTTAGGACCCTACGCTCTTGTCGGGGACCCATCTGCTAACCTGCTTGGGCACACCCAGTCATTCGGGGCCCTTCAAATTGGGTCTTGATATTTAAATGGAGGGCTCTTCACAGCTGTCGGGCCCCATCTGTTAACCTGCTCGGGCACACTGGATTGGCCCTACGGTCCTATCGAGGACCACCTGATTGCCTGCTCGGGTGCACTTGATCTTTCGGGGGCCGTCCACTGTGGGTCATAGGTATTTTATTTGAATCGGCCACTACGCTTTGCCGGGGGTCTGTCTGATAACCTGCTCGGGAACACTCGCTTGTTCGAGGGCCCTTTACATTGTGTCTTGGGTACTTCCTCTTTGAGTTGAAGGCCTTGAACACTTGTCGGAGCCCCTCTGCTCGCCTCTTTGGTCATGCTGGATTGTTCCGGGGCCCTGTGCATTGGGTGTTGGAGTTTGAATTTAAGGCCCAACGCTCCTGTCGGGAGCCATCTTGCGCTCTTGACGGGGCCTTACTTTTTCGCCTGCTCGGGCAAACTTGATTATTCCGGGCCCTCTATGCTGTGTCTTGGGTACCTCGTATTTGAATGGATGGCCCTATGTTCTTGGTGAGCCCCATCTATTAAGCTGCTCGGGCCGGTAGCGGATACAGAGGGGAAGGCGCAGGACCATGCCCTCATGGAACATGCCGAGGGGACCCATAGGCTCCTAAACGGCCCATAACCGACTGAACGGACGCAAATTTCTCCCACACCAAAGAAAAACAACATAAAATTGGACATTTTTGGGCCCACAGATTTCTAAGAACGGTTGCAAGCAAAAGAAAAGTTAATAACCAGACAAAGTTAATCCTTCTCTGACTGAGAGGGTGTTGATTGGAGGGAAAATTTGGGGCCCATCACGCTGTCCAGAGGCCCTGTGCTACTGCCTCGGCCCCATATGTTCACTTGCCGGGTAAATCTAATCGCTACCAACGCTGTTGTTGGGACACTATCTGCTGTTGGGACATTATCTGCTGTTGGGAAACCATCTGCTCACATGCCTGGTCACTCTCGATCGACCAGGTTTAACTCCACGCTTTCTTCTCATGCGCCCGAAAGGCTCTATACGCCTTTTCCGGGGCCCCATATTCCAGGGTACACTCAGTTGTGCAGGGGCCCTTCATATTAGTCTCGGGTTCTTTTCACTTGCTGGGGGGGCCTTGCGCCATTGCTAGGGCTCATATAAGGTAAGGCATCGAGACACTCGAGACTTTTCATTCCTACTGGGCTCTTTCTGTTAACCTGCCCGGGCACTCTGCATCGCGCAGGTGTATTAATTCACGGTCAATTCTTAATTCTTGGATAGTTCGTCTTTGCTCAGAGGATCCTATGCTCTGGCCAGAGCCTTATATGTCAGCCTGTCGGGGCGCCACCGGTGGTTCAGCGGCCCACCACGTCGGTCTTGGGTTCTTTGCGCCTGCTCTGGGGCCCTATGCTTGTTGACGGGATTCCCCTTGCTGGCCATATGCGGCACCCACGACCGCTCAGTTCACGTCCTTATTGGCCTTAGTGCCTTAGCCTCAGAGCAGCAGTCGGAAATGCACCGATGAATTTTTTACGCGTAACAGGCGAACGTAATTGTACGTGTCACCGGCGTCGTATGTGTCATTTCCTTGGCTATTGAGTGTGTGACACTTATTATGCTCGTGCATCACGTTGTTGATACATTTTTAATGTCAGCATATTTTGCACTCCTTTGCAACGAAGGAAAATTCTGCGTCACCAGCGATCGGCTGATTACTTTGTTCAGCCGGCTAGCCGCAAGCAAGCTAGGAACCAGGTTCCGGCTCGGTTTTGGTGGTAGTTAGCTGTCAACTCGAGTTAATTCTGCTGATTTTTCCGAGCCATTTAGCCTACAGATTCATAGGACTTAGCATGACATGGAGACAATGAATGAGCTCCATGTATGTGCATACATAGCACGCCTAGCTTTATAGGACTGGGCACAGTAACATGACCACCCGTATTTGCTATATATTTACACACTGTTAATCTCAAAATCCAATGGCCGGAATGCGGGCATATATTTTGTGGAGAGGCCCTAAACTCTAGAGGGTCCCACAATGTTGCATGCCCTCCTTGATGAAATCCTGAATCCGCCCCTGCACAAAATCCAACATGGTTTGACTGTCATTGCGCCGTTGCAATCAAACCCCGTGCCTCTGACTTCTCACGCGCGCAGCATAACCACTGCACCATTGGTACCTAGCATTGTCTGCTTTATGTAGGTGTGCAAGTGTGAAAACTTGACGCGTCGCGTGTTTGAGTAAAACGCATCTAACCCACACGGGTCAGCCCCCCCCCCCCCCCCCATAGGATTCCAGCCAGTGCTCTGCACTGCTGTCTGTTGCCCGCGCTGAAACCGCGATATGAGTCCTCCGGATGGTGATTATTGATGTTCAGCAGACATGTCATACAGCACAAACTGTCACATCATTTGCGAGCGGAACATTGGTAGCACATTTCTCATTGGTCTGAAATGCTGCCAAGTGGCTAAAAAGACGGTTTGAAATCCCCGATGCTTTTCTTCAAAATACGTCCCCCGACATGAACTTCACGAGGCATCACCCATGCTGGCAACCTGCCAGCGGTGTTGCGTGTTGAGCTCCCTGCGCCCTTCCCTGCCAAGGGCGCATCTCGCCCTCGCCGGGGTGGCCTCTCGTCGGCGCCGACGCCGCCCGGCCGCCGCCTCGCTGGAAGTCGACGCACCGTCGATGGCTCCCAGCACCGGAAGCGGGACGTCCCGGACCCGGCCGGCGGCTGCAACAGATCCGCGCCAGCGACGTCCGGGCCCCGCACAATGGCCGGCGGAAGGCTAGAGGCCCGTCAGATATCCGCCAGAGGCCCGCCAGATAACCACCAGAGGCTCGCTAGATTGCTGCCAGAAGCCCGCCAGATGTCCGCCAGAGGCCCGCCAGATAGTTTCCAGAGACCCGCCAGATTGCCGCCAGAGACCAGCCAGGTAGCCACTAGATACCCGCCAGTCACCAGAGACCCGCCAAATGGTTACCAGAGACCCGCCAGATAGTTACCAGAGATCCACCACACAGCCACCATAGACCCGCCAGATAGCCACCAGAGACCCGCCAATTAGCCACTAGATACCCACCAGATATCACCAGAGACCTGTCAGAAGTTACCAGAGGCCCGCCAGACATTGCCCAGGGGCCCACCAGATGGTCAGCAGAGGGCCGCCGGATAGTCACCAGAGGTCCGTCGGATGGTCACCAGATGCTCGCCAGATAGTTACCTGGGGCCCACCAGAAGCCACCAGAGACCCGCCCCATATCTGCGACACATCCACCAGATCGCAGATTACATTCCAGCCAGAATCCGGCGAGAGGGGTGCTAGAGGACGCAAGAGGTCAGCTCAGGGGCCTGCCAGAGCCCGGTAGGGATCTGTAGCAGGTTTTTTTGCTGTTAGAAGCAGCAGGCCCGATGAAGGTCCACTCTGGAGGTACGCTGGCCATCTGGTGTGGAGGCGGTCAGTCATCCCACCAGCGTCGGTGCGATTGGCGGGGCTTGATTGATTAGGTTTGATCTCCCCGTTCACACTCGAGCCGTACCCACACTCGTCGCTTTCGATCCGTGCTTTGGAGGAGAGGGTGGGACGTGACGTACTGCAGCTGCCAGCCCACGATAGTTAATAGCCAGCTCACGTTAGTTAGTAGCCTGCCCACGTTAGTTAGTAGCCTGCCCACGCTAGTTAGTAGCCA